ATATGCCCTGATGTTTACTCCTGCTGATCACAGCTGTTTCACATCTGCTGAGTCACCCCACCTGCTTGCACCAGCCTTCCTGTGCTTACTCGAGTGTACAGGAAAAACCAGCCTCGTCTAATTGTTTTCAGCCTTTCCGTGTTCTGCTGCAAGACAGACCAGCGACGACGATGTGAACAGCAAGGTATTCCTGAGTGCATACGATTCTACTTCATTGGTGTGTTTCTCTTCCAGGCCCTAAGCCGGTGTCACCTAAAGCACATCATAGCCCTGTGGCAGCTCCTCTCTACTCACAAGTCTGAGCAACTGCTGCGTCTCAAACGGGTAGGAAAGTGTCTGGCCTCAGCGTTCGGTTCAGTGTTTTTCCTTCTCCCCAGAGGAAACTGCTCACCTGTGCATGTTCTTGCTGTGCCTTCTAGGATCCCTTTGTGGATGTTGATGCAGCCTATAAAGCTGAACTCAGTTCAGAGAACACCAAGCTCCTCAACACCTTCCTCATTCAGGCCGGGTTGGAGACCTTCCTGCAGGAGCTGCACGAAATGATCATCCTGAAGTTGAAACATACCAAAGTTGGAGATGAGTTCAACCCCTTGTGGAGGTAATGGACTGCTCAGCCCAGACCTAACTACCTTCACATGCTCATTTTTTATTTCTGTCATTTACATTGCAAAGGGGCAAAGGATTCCCTTAGTTTTTCCTGCTCAGGTGGACACAAAGCACAAAACACCAACTGATTGAACAGTGAAAAGCTTCAGCCGGTGCTAAGAATGTTTACACAAACTTTGGGGCATGTGACTTTTCTACATAGCCGTACGACGTGTCAAATATTCAAATGGGAATGGCTGGTTTTGAGTGCTTAATGGAATGCTAGCAGTCGGCAAATCCAAGCGTAGCATAGCCCAGCTCGGTTGGCTTTCCATACACAGCTTTGCCCCTGCACTTCAATCCTAACCTGCAGCGCTTCCCATGTCTGTGTTCTTGAGCTTCAATGGGAGTCGCCAATGTATTTCGAACCTGACCTGTTGCACCATTTAACCTATCTCATTGTAGTATATATAACACTCAGTAAAAAATATTGTGTAGGTTGCATGCGGCATACTGCAATGTTATTATTAATGGTGTTTTTCCCATGCTTTATTTTCTAGCCTGAAGGATACACTTCTTTCGTACATTGAAAGGAAAGGGAGCAGCGTACTTACAGAGCTGGAGGATATGTTCCCAGAAGAGATTCTGCTCTCCCACTGTATTGCTGCCTGGAAAGCAGCTGCTGTCCTCAAAAGGGATCGTAGACTAAGTTAATCTAGTAGAGGATCCTGCAAACACTGCTTTTTACATGAGGTCACTGGAGGAGCAGCACTGGGTCTCTGTAAGACCTGCTCATTGCACTGATCTTCCTTCCTGTACGAGGTGAATTCTGGTGCCACAAACATGCCATGTCAATGAGATCGTGAAAGTAACCTCTCTCTTACACTGGACTCAGGACCAAAATGTGATGCACAAGCATAAAGCATTTTATGCATCAGAAGGACTGGGGGGAAACAAATGTATATACAAATATGTGCTATTTCTTGAGTGGGCAAAGCAGAGATGGAAACACTGTTCATAGAGAGGCGTGGTGAAAATTCATGTATCCTTGAAAGATAAAAAAGCCATCATCCTTCAGTGACCTGGGCAGAGCGGGGGTGGAGTTGGGGGTATCAAAGTGTCTTGTGAGCTACTTGGACAGCCCCAGTACAGGCATGCTTTGTTCTCCATGTTTTTTGTAGGCACTGTTCCGGTTCACATGCTCCCTTACTGCCAACCTTTTCCTCTTTAGCTAGATGAGAAACAAATGTTGTCCTCCCTCATCCAGGTCTCATAAGCTTCCCTGCTGCAATACTACCCAAGCTGCCTTCATATGTCTAAAGGGTCATATTGGCTCGCTGAGCGTTCTAGCTTTATTCCTGTTCTAACATTCCATGAGTCCAGGGGTATCAGTTACCAGAGGTCAGTTAACTTCCTCTTTGCATAACACATACAAGAAAAAAACAGTACATTTCAAAGCTCACCACAGAAATTGATCTTGTAGCTGCTTTTAAAGTAAAACATTAAAAGGCAATGTGGCCCAAATCCCACACAACAGGACAACCTAATGGTCCTGAATTACTACCCCCACTACTCTTCCCCCCCCCCCCCCCCCCCCCCCCCCCCCCCTTCCCCGAGGTACCGTACATTTGAATCAGAATGGTGCTGCCAGGCTGTTTCTGGCACGTGTGCGTGTGCAGGCAGACGTGCACGTTGGAGCTGAGAGAGCCACTTCACTCTTGTGTCTTAGGCACGTTTTCTGGATAGCATGGACTCTCCATTAGGGTTTAGTTGTCATCTTCTTAGCTGATATTGAACAACCATAATCAGACTATTAATAGGGAAAACAGAAATGTAAATGTCATTGGTCTGTGCTGCTTTCCCCATATAAATTTCTTGTGTGTCTGACTTAATACTTTTCAGTGTTGCCTTTCTCTAGCAGGAAGCATCTGCGACTGTCCGTGCCACCCTGCTTTCCTGATATCCCAGCAGAGTCATTTACATATGTAGTTAGGACCATGTTTCCATTTAGAAAAATTCCTTCTGGGCCAGAAGTTTGTACTTTATAGCCAGAATTTGACCCAGGAGCAAGTTTCTGATCAAATGTAAGGAAATCCAGATCTTTTGTTATGTACCAGATAAGTAACAGGTTTTTTTAGACACACCTTCAAAATGAGAATCTTTAACCACACACATTCGATAGACTTGATCCCATTAAGGTTTGTCCAATAAATAGTGCAGGTCCACAAATCTGGATTTCACTAAGTGGATAATATGCATCCTAAAAACACTGGAATATGAATTCTCACTAGGAAAGGGTTTCCCCCCTCCTCTTATCGAGGGGATTTTACAAGCTCTGCACTCCCTCTGTTCCTTGCCATTTATTGATCTGTTGCAGCATTAATATTTTAACAAATATTTGGGATAATTTGAAATGTAAAGTTAATCATGAGGGTTTGCCTATTGGAAGCAGTACGGCTTCCATTTACATTTGCAGTATTTCCATCTCTTACTGCACAGTTAATGTTTTCAAGTTGCCTTTTAAAAAGAAAAAAAAGATACCTCAGGGTCTCAGTTTGGACAGAGCCCAAACTAACTTCCTAGCAGCAAGCATTCGGTGACCTTTTCTAGTCACTGTTTTGTTGCTGTTTCTAGCTTTAAGGTGCCTTAGCTGTAACAATTTACTTAGAGGGAATCATGCTAGATGTTCTTATGCTTCACTGAGTTGCTTTGTATGAAGGACTTGATTATTTTTTGTATTTTTCATTTAGTCTTAATAAACTTGATCAGATACGTTACGACCAATGTAGAAGTGTGCACCTATTTCAGTGCTTTTATTGCTGAGGATTTTGAGGCTGTTTCTTCAATAAATGAATTATTTGCTGCTAAAGATTCCTTAGCGGTCAATAGTGATGCTTGAAACTGTGTCTTGAAAAGCACCCAATGCACAGTTTTTTTGGTACTATGAGGAATCTGACATTTAAAACCTTGGCCTCTTTTGTCTTGCAAACTGCTAATTATGCAGAAGTGCAAATTTGGACAGAGTTAATGGATGATTGCTGTGCTCGATTCCACACAGTCGATGTAAAACAGGAGCAGGGAAGCTTGCCCTCTGTCATTTCCTTCCCTTCCCTCCCCTCCTAGAGGGGGGAGAGGTGATGAGTTTCTGACTGAGAGCCCCAGCCACCAGCAGTGGGCCTCTTGTCTGCTGCAGGGCCAGCAAAGGGATGGTGATTTCACTGCAAAGTTCAGTCGCAGCAGGTCCCCCGCCTTTTCCTTCACCTAGTTCAGGGATTCTCCAACTGGGGTTGTGAGGTTATTACATTGGGGGGGGGGGGGGGGCGGGGGTTGTGAGCTGTCAACCTCCACCCCCAAACCCTGCTTTACCTCCAGCATTTATAAGAGTGTGTGAAATATTTTTTAAAAGTGTTTAATTTATAAGGAGGGTTGCACTTACAGGCTTGCTGAGTGAAAGGGGTCATCAATACAAAAGTTTGAGAACCACTGGCCTAGTTTCTGCCTCAGCCCGGTCTTCCCGTCGCATTTTGCACTGCAAATCAAACTGGGGCTGGGCCCAGGCCCGGACCAGAGTGAAGCGGGGGGCTGGGCCCTGCGAGCTGGGCTGGACCCGATGGGGGGGGGGGGCAGGAAGAAATCTGAGCCCCGCGAGCTGGGCTGTTCCCCTCACAGACGTTGCCATGCCATGGGTGCCACGAGCCCCAAGTCTGGCCCTGCAGTGCCCTGGCTCTGAGCATGGGCAGACCTAGCATTACTAACCCTCTGGGATTAGCTGGGAATCTCCCGGAATCAGGCTCCATCTCCAGGAGGCTCCTGAAACCAATCCGGGAGATTTTAGGCTACTAAAAATCTGGCGGCGCAACACGGCTAAGGCAGGCTACCTGCCTGCCTGAGCGCCGCATGGCTCCTGGAAGCAGCTGGCAAGTCCCTCTAGCTCAGAGGTTCTCAAACGGGCCTGGGACCCCTTGGGGGTCGCGAGTTGTCAGCCACCCCCCCAAACCCCGCTTTGCCTCTAGCATGTATAATGGTGTGAACTATATAAAAAAGTGTTTTTAATTTATAAGGGGGGGGGGCGGTCGCACTCAGAGGTTTGGGGGTCACCAGTACAAAACTCCGAGAACCCCTGCTCCGGCTCCTAGGCAGAGAGGCAGCCAGGGTGTCTCTGCCGCTCCCATTGGCTGGGACCCCGACCAATGGGAGCTGTGGGGGTGGGCCTGCAGGCAGGGGCAGCACGCAGAGCCGCCTGGCAGCCCTTCAGCCTAGGAGCTGCCTCAGGTCAGCGCCGCCCGGCCAGAGCCCGCCCCCCATCCCCAGCCCTGAGCCCCCTCCCACCCCCAGAGCCCGCCCCCTCGCCCCTGCCCCGCCCCAGCCCGTGAAAGGGAGGGGGCGGGGCCTCGGGGGAAGGGGCGGGGCCTCGGGGAAGGGGCGGGGCGAGGGTGTTTGGGTCGCTGGGATTAGACAGGTGGCAGCCCTCGGCCGACCTGCCCCTCCCCCGAGCTGAGACCCGCCCCCCCCCGGCTCCGTGTCCCCGGCGGGCGGGGAAGCGGCAGCCCGGCCGGAAGCGGGGCCATGGCGCGCAGCGAGACGGAGCCGCCGGAGCAGGCGCCGCTGGGCCGCTGGGAACGGTAATGGGAGGGGAGCGCGGGAGGGGCCCCGTAGGACAGCCCGGGCTTCCGGCGGCGGGGCATGCTGGGATGTGTAGTCTTGGAGCGCGGAGCGGCGAAAGCGTTGTGCGCATGCGTCATAGTGTGGCGTAATGGGCGGGCTTCTCCAGGGCTCCTCCCCTTGCCAGGCAGACAGCGGCCCCCCAGCCAGCGTCATCAGTCCCAGGGGTCCCCAGAAAACCGAACACCCTGGCTCTGCCCCTCCCTGAGGCCCCGCCCCTTGTCTGAGGCCCCGCCCCTGCCCCATCACCCGCTCTCCCCGACCCTCGCTCACTCCCTCATTTTCACAGGGCTGGGGCAGGGGGTTGGGGTGGGGGGGTGCAGGCTCTAGGATGGGGCTGGGGATGAGGGATTTGGGGTGCCGGAGGGGGCTCTGGACTGGAGCCGAGGGGGTTGAAGTGTTAGAGGGGGCTCAGGGCTGGGGCAGGGGGTTGGGGTGGGGGGGTGCAGGCTCTGGGATGGGGGCTGGGGATGAGGGATTTGGGGTGCCGGAGGGGGCTCCGGACTGGAGCCGAGGGGGTTGAAGTGTTGGAGGGGGCTCAGGGCTGGGGCAGGGGGTGGGGGTGGGGGGTGCAGGCTCTAGGATGGGGGCTGGGGATGAGGGATTTGGGGTGCCGGAGGGGGCTCCGGGCTGGAGCCGAGGGATTTTGACGTGTTGGACAGAGCTGGGGGAGGAGGTTTGGGGTGCAGGCTCCGGGTGGCACTTACCTCAGGCGTCTCCCAGAAGTGGACAGCATGTCCCTGCGGCTCCTAGGCGCAGGGGCAACCAGGGAGGTTCCACCCGCTGCCGTTGCCTCCGCCCCGGCAGCTCCCATTGGCTGTGGTTCCTGGCCAATGGGAGCTGCAGAGCTGGCGCTCGGGGTGGGGGCAGCACACGGAGCCTCCCTGCCCACCCTTGCGTCTAGGGCCCTCAGGGACACGCTGGACGCTTCCGGGAACCATGGGGAATCAGGGCAGGCAGGGAGCCTGCCTTAGCCTCGCTGCGCCACCAACTGGACTTTTAACAGCCCAGTCAGCAGTGCTGACCGGAGCCACCAGGGTCCCTTCTCGACCAGGCGTTCCAGTCAAAAACTGGACACCTGGGAACCCTTGACTCCATTGGGCTGGGGCATGGGATGAGGTGGCAAAGCCTGGCCCTTTTTGGCCATGCTGGGCTGTGGCCCCTGGTGTCGCTCAAAGGTGGGTCCCCAGTTCTATGAGTTGTCCTGACCTGGTGGTAGAAGTGGGGACCATCCCCACATCTCTCCCTTCCCGAGGGACGGGCACTGTTTGTCTGAGTGGCTCTTGGACATCACACCTGTGCTGCTTCCTGATTAGGGTGACCCGATAGCAAATGTGAAAAATCTCGACGGGGTAGGGGGTAATAGGTGCCTATATAAGAAAAAGTCCCAAATATCGGGACTGTCCCTATAAAATCAGGACATCTGGTCACCCTATTCCTGATGCTCTTTGGGGCTCTCCCCTAGGCTCCCTGTTATTGGGGTGTTGTCAGGAGCGAGTGGCTCTGTCCCAGTCTCTCCTCTGTGCCGCAGGCTCAGACGGGGCTTCGTGCCCCCCTTCAGGTTTGTGGTCACTAACTGAGCTTGGTCAGGGTCTGCCTTAGTATTGAGGTGAGGTATCTCCTTGGCCTCACGTAGTAGGTCTCTGCAGAGATCTGGAGCCGGCCAGCTTGTCAGCTTGGATTGTTTCATCCCTTCCCATCCATGCAATGAAAAGCCCCTGTTCTGGCTCAGGATCTCAAATGCTTTGCAGTCAGCCCTCGTGAACCCTGCTGTGAAACACGGGATTTTTAGCATCTCCATTTTCCAATTGCAGAAATGGAAGCACACAAATTTGCCAAGGTCACTCAGAAGCACTGACAAATCTGAGACTAGAACCTCGGAATCCTGATGTTCTGCTTCAGTAACTAGACCACACTGCCCTAAGGAATACGCTGTCCACCTGCCAACCCATCATGTCTTTCCTAAACCAGCAGAGCCTTGTTGAATGGAAACCTGCTGAAATAATCGAATAACACGATTTTGCAGGATGCCCGGACCAGCCTGCTTCTGTCATTTCAATGTGTTGTGTATGGAGTTGGGAATAAAAAGACACTATTTTTGCCTGTGGTTATCTTTCCTTAGGGAGCAGGCCCAGCTAAAGGCAAATGTGATTGAGGAGGACACTGAGGAATGGCAGAAAAATTCCACCTTTGCAGGACTGGAGAGAGTGGGAGGGGCGGACCTGTCTTATGTCAAAGGAAACGACACAATCGCCTGCGCGTCCCTGGTGGTTCTCAGCTACCCAGATCTTGAGGTAATGGCCCTTGAGCGGTGGTCTCATGGTTGGGATACCTGTACTGTAAAGGCTTTGTAGAAAACCAGCCTACCCCAAAGGGCATCATGGACTGTATCTCAGCGTCACAAGGCTCCAGCCAAGTATCTGACCCGCCTGTTCACCAAGAAAAGGCTTTCTGCAGAGAGCATGGGTGAGGAGGAGAGGACAGGAGTGATGGTCTTTGGTATTACCTAGCAAAATTAATTTGGAAATACGTAGTTTGGTCACTTCCTGCAGAGAGAAGCTGAGTCCAAGAGTTACAGAGAACTTCTGGAGGCCCGGGGAGATGGTTCCAGGGTGTGGCAATTGCTCAGGAGTAGGTCAGAGATGATGATGTTGATAAGAAATAGCTCATAAACGGCCTTTGAAGATTTTGATTGAATTAGGTAAATGTTGGAAATCAACAGTTTCACCCTCTATCCAGAAACAAACCGCAGAAAGGCCATTGTTATTCAACATTTACCAGGAGAACAAGTTAAAACAATGTGACATTCCTAGACAGATGGTGCCTTCCTTGTCAGATCCCTCTGGTAATCAGTTAATATGAGATGTGATTTACAATGGCACTTCCAAATCTGTTGTGAATCTCCCACATTCTGCAGTCATTAAACTTTGAATTAATAAAGATTTATCAGAGTTTATGTACAGATTTCAACTAATGTAAAAAGTTGTCACTAACTAAAAACACTGACAACAAATATGGAATTGAACATTGATATCCACTGGAAATCACAGAAAGTGAGAATCAAATCCTGCCACAGTTCTTAAAGACTTGCCCATGACGGCTGTGTGAGTTAATTCACCTACTGTCCTTGGTCAGTGTCCTAACAGGCTTTCTTCTGGAATCCACTTGCTTTTCCGAATGCTGGGTGAGAGGCCCTTTGATCAGGCATTGATTATAAGTAAGGCTAAGATTTTGTCACGGATATTTTTAGTAAAAGTCACGGACAGGTCATGGGCAAAACAGAAAAATTCAGGGAAGCCGTGACCTGTCCCTAACTTTTACTAAAAATATCCTTGACAAAATGAGGATCTGCGGATCCCCACACTACTTCAAGCGGGGCAGCTGCAGGGACTTGGAGCTGCCTGTAGCAGCTGGGGGCTGCGGGATACCTCTGCCACCTGCAGCTCCGGGCGTCCCCCGCTGTCCGCATGGGGCTGGGAGCTCAGGGTTTCCCACCACCCATGGGGGCCAGGAGCTGCCACAGCGGCAAGGAGCATGTCCCTGCCACCTCCGGCAGCCCGGAGCTTGGGGGTTCCCCGCCGCTGCCCGCCAGGAACTGGGGGGTACCCCACCAGCCCCAGGGCAGGGAACTCGGGGGTTTTCCCACCGCCCCCAGCGGCTGGGAGCTCGGGGGTTCTGCTGCCGGTAACAGAGAGCTGCGGGGGTTTCCCCCATCGCCACCACCGGCGGCAGGGAGCTGCGCGGGCCACCAGAGGCAGCAGGGGTACCTCACAGCTTCCTGGCCCAGCGGGTGGCGGTGGACACTGCACCACCGCAAGCTGAAGTCATGGAGGCCACTGGAAGTCACGGATTCCATGACCTCCGTGACCTAAATCGCAGCCTTGATTATAAGGACAGTGATCTCCCGCTGTTGCACACTCGAATGGGGCCGAAGCACCCCTAGCCATTGGCAAAGTCCCTGTACTCATTCAGGGTAGGGTAGGCTAGGGTATATCTGGTCATTTTCCATCATCTGCCCATTACTTCTCTCCCCCCACCCCCACACTCACACTGAGGGGACAAGTTGGCGTGAGCTAATGTGCAGCATTTGTGTTTAACTTTGGGGGAGCGGCCCAGCAGGGTTCGGGGAGAGTATTGAAGCGAGAGAGAGAGAGAATATAAATATACTGGAGAAGAAATATCTGAGCCGGTCAGGATTAAGCCAGCTATGGCCTGGGTTCAGCACACTGATCCTAGTGCCTGCTGTGTTAAGTTGCCCCTTGCAGACATGAGTCTGTGTTCTCAGCACTGTCCTTGTTTTGTCCCAGGTGCTATATGAGGATTGCCAGATGGTAACCGTGAGTGCCCCCTACGTGGCAGGATACTTAGCTTTTCGAGAGGCCCCTTTCCTGGTGGAAGCTGCTCAGAGACTTCAGGAGCGAGAGCCTGGGCTCAGGCCTCAGGTGCAGCATGTTCCTTTCTCTCATGGGGAGATGTCCCTGGGGTGCTGGATGTACCTGAAAAGAAACTCTCCTTAGAGGTTGCCCTGCCCAGCACCTCTGCAGCAGGCAAGGCAGGGCAGGGCAGGGTGCACCCTAACACAGCCTTGTTGTTGTGTCTGCTTCACTGTCTCTGCGGGGATGGGGAAACCGAGCCAATGGCCAGCCAGACTTCACCTTGTCTGTGAGCAGGGAAGGCAAGATGTGGGGATGACTCCCATCCTTTCTTTAGTACTACGGGGTTGCAGGGCACTCGGCCCGCAATAGAAAGATCAGCTCCCTACTCCCGGGGATGGTCATCAAAAGGGGCATGAAAGAGAGAGCGGGGCAGGCGGGGGTGAGGAGAACCTGGGTAAAGGAGCTGTGGGGGTGGGGCAAAGGATTGAAATGGAGCCTTCTCCTTCTCCTTCCTCACGGAGCTGGCCTCACTCGCCACTTGTTCAGGTCAGAGGTGTGTTCACTCAGCTGGAGCGATCCATGGTGCTTGGTAACTAACACATCACCTGGTTCTTCCAGGTGCTGCTCGTAGATGGGAATGGCGTACTCCATCACAGAGGTATGAGAGAGCTCTGCCCCCGACGGGGACCCCCCAAGCTCCAGGAGAGAGCACTGCTCCCCCCAACAGGGACCCCAGGCCCTAGGAGAGTGCGCTGCCCCCCGACAGGGGACCCCCAGGCTCCAGGAGAGAGTGCAGCCCCCCGACGGGAACCCCAGGCCCTAGGAGAGCGCTGCCCCCCGACGGCAACCCCAGGCCCTAAGAGAGCACTACCCTCCGACAGGGGACCCCCAGGCTCCAGGAGAGAGTGCTGCCCCCCGACGGGAACCCCAGGCCCTAGGAGAGAGCGCTGCCCCCCCCGACAGGGGACCCCCAGGCTCCAGGAGAGAGTCCTGCTGTTCACTAGGGTCCAGAGCTCTAGACCAGTGAAGGAGACATTAAATAATTATCATCTAGCAACAGGCTAATTCCCCTCCCCCAGAGGCATTGATTGGGTTCTGATCCCATCTGGAGGTTCTGGAACCTCCTGCTTTGGGGTTGACAGACGGCCCCTCTGTGGTGAACTCTGTCCCTGCGGCACTGGTCCCCATCTGCCAGTACCACCCACTCTGCGCTTGGCTGTAGTGTTGTCACAGGCTTACAGACATACCCGGGGCTGTCCCCTCTGACGAGGGTCACCAGAACAGGATGGAGAACCCCATTGCTGGCCCCTTCCTGTTTCCCTTGACCATCTCTTGGCTTGTTCGGCAGGGTTTGGTGTGGCCTGCCACCTGGGGGTGCTGACGGGCCTGCCCTGTATTGGTGTGGCCAAAAACCTCCTGCAGGTCGATGGCCTGGCCAAGGATGAGCAGCACAAGGGGCAGGTAAGGCCAGCGCGAGCATCCCTCCCTCCTGTGCCAGTGGGGGAAATGGAGTAAGAGCCTTGGTGAGAGGGAGCTCCTAGCCACCCCCCTCCTGGCCTCTCCCACCACGAGGAGCTGGGGAGGGGCAGCTCCCGGTTTCTCCGTCCCAGCCTTTCCCAGCAGGAAGTGCTGGCGGTGTTATGGGAGCCTGTTCAGGCCAAGGAGGGAAGTTCTGGAGTAGGTTCTCCCAGACCCTCCTGGAACCGATGCACTGGAGCTCTAACCAGCTTGCTCGTTCTAGATCCGCGACCTGCAGATGGGAGGAGACGTATTCCCTCTGAGGGGCACCTCTGGGAGAGTCCTGGGCATGGTAAGTCATGGGCAGTCTGCTTTGCATGTTGGTCACAGCTGGGCCTTCTCCATGTTCCCTAGCCTGGCTCAAATGGGAAGGAGGGAGGGGACAAAGTGTAGTGCAGCTCTCTGCAGCCCAGTGACAATAAGCCAGGAGGGCAGAATCTGAGCAGGCAGAGCCAACGCTCACCTCCCTTTCCTGTCAGCCCACGGCATGGGATCCCCTCCTGGGATGCACGACCACTTTGTCATATGTGACAGTGGTATGTGAGCTGCCATGTCCTGGTCTATCTGCCCGTGTCCGGCGCCATTACAGCAAAGGGGCAAAGCACGGGCAGGAGTTTTTTCTGTGGCAGGTCTCCAGACTGTGAGACAGGAACCTCTGCACCTTGGTGGAAAAGGCAGCTTGGGAGATGGTGGGGCTGGCTGGGTCCCCACTCAGAGCTGGCAGGTGTTGGCTGCCTCCTTCGCCTGGGTATATTCTCCACTGAGCAAGGTCCCTTGCTCTGAGCAGTGTGAAATATTGGGGATGGGGAGCACAAGGAGCCCTAGGAGACAGACCCTCCCTGTGATGCTCCCAAGCAGCGAGGAGCAGTAAAGGCCGGGGCTCTGAAATGTCTGATACCCCCCAGCTCTCCCAAGTGTCCCCAGGTGCGTGTGCAATCACTGACGTCGTGCGTTTGTTTTAAACAAGCCCCAAAGCTCTGGTCTGTCCGGTTTCCAACCCTCCAGGCCCTGCGCAGCTACAACAAGAGCACGAAGCCCATCTATGTCTCCGTGGGCCACAAGACGTGCCTGGAGTCAGCAGTGCGCCTGGTCCAGTCCTGCTGTAGGTACCGGATCCCAGAGCCCATCCGACAGGTGCGAAGGCAGGGGCAGCTAGGGGATGGGGATCCGAGCCTGTCATGGGAGACGTGGCCAGTTAGCTAGTGGAGGGGTGACAGGCAGCTGTGAATGACAGGACTGCGACGGCTGGCCTCCCTTCCCCAAGAGCAGCACCTGAGCCTGCTAGGCCGTCCCCTCCAGCTACGGGCTACAGCCGATCCTGGCGGTTCTGATCTACCTGTCTTCTTATTTATAAAACTGCTCCTTCCCTCTTTCTTTGTCCTCCTGACCTGTCCCTGACACACGGTGCATAGAAGCACCCGCAGCCCTCAGTGCGGATCCAGCCTGGTGGGGCTCTCTGCTCCTCTCTGCAGGCTGGCTCTGGGGTTAATAATGCAGAGGAGCTGGAGGTGCAGCTTTCCCAGAATGTGGAGCTGAACACAGACTGCAGTGTTCATCCTCTGGGCTATGGGGTATGCCGCACTCCGCAACAAGCTGCGGGCTGCCGGTTCCAGATGTAGCCTGTAGGTGGCAGCACTGGATCGCATTCAGTGCCTCTTGCTGCCAGCGATTTTATAATTAAATCACAGCAGGGCTGGAGAAATGAATCTCAAGAAGTGTGAAGCCGTTGGGATTTCTACCCGGAGAAGAGCTTCCTTCTCCTCAGGATCACCCCGCCATTAGCAGTTCAGGCAGGCTGCCCCGCTCAGCGTTTGGGGAGCAGAGTCTGTAACGTCACCCTGGAACAGTGTGTGTTCCGATTGCTACGCCTCGGCCTTCGTCCCGTGTCTGCCAGCCCTGGCTTTGCTGCTTTCTGAGCAGTATTGAGAAGGCTCCTACCAAGGCCAGACACAGGCGCTGCAGGCAGAAGTTGTTCGTTGCTATTGTGATATTTTCTGAAAATTGAACCGTGTGACACTGTTTAGTTGTAGAGCGACGACCAGCAAACCTCAAAGCAAAACTGCCCATTGGCGTCTCCAGACCAGAGCTGATCATGGAGTTTCTGGTCCCATATCCCACCTCCTGACAGACTGGAGCAGTCTTACAGGTCATCTAGTCCCATAGCTCACTGCCGGCAGTGGCCAGCACCCGATGCTTCAGGAGACAGGCTCTCATAGTTGCACTGTGTGGCACTTGGGGGCGTGTTAGGAGGGGAGGGAAAAGCCTTCCTCAGTGGAAACATGCCCGTATTTCTTTTGGAAATCATTTTGACCCAGGTGCCCCACTCCTCACAGCTGCTTTCTGTCGCCTTCAGTCCCATTCCCATGCCTCTTCTTTGGGACTGGCTGGCTAGACTCCTCCAGCCGCTCCAGCTGACCTGGGGCATTAGTTAAAGGGACAAAATTTATTTGCTGGTGACTCCTTCCGGGGGAAGATTTGAGAACCATCTCCAAGGATTAGAAAGGTGTGAACCTAAGGAGGGAGGGGAATTATTCAGCACAGGAGTTCTGGGACTTTTTCATAGTACGGGTCATATCTTCAAGGAGAGTATGTCATAGACGCTCATATGGACCTCACCAGCTCGCCAATTCCCTATCTCATGGAACCTCATAGACTCATAGACTTAAAGGTCAGAAGGGACCATTATGGTCATCTAGTCTGACCTCCCGCATGATGCAGGCCACAAAAGCTGACCCACCCACTTTCCCTTAACTCAGCTGTTGAAGTCTCCAGATCGTGATTTAAAGACTTCAAGTCGCAGAGAATCCTCCAGCTTGCGACCCCTGCCCAATGCCGCGGAGGAAGGCGAAAAACCTCCAGGGCCTCTGCCAATCTACCCTGGAGGAAAATTCCTTCCCGACCCCAAATATGGCGATCAGTAGAACCCCGAGCATACAGGCAAGATTCTCTAGCCAGACCCACATTTTACCAGCGATGGCACTTTATTACCTAATTGACTAAAATCACGTTATCTCATTAAACCATTCCCTCCATAAACTTATCTAGCCTAATCTTGAAGCCAGAGAGGTCTTTCGCCCCCACCGTTTCCCTCGGAAGGCTGTTCCAAAATTTCACCCCTCTGATGGTTAGAAACCTTCGTCTAATTTCAAGCCTAAACTTCCCCACGGCCAGTTTATATCCATTTGTTCTCGTGTCCACATTAGTACTGAGCTGAAACAATTCCTCTCCCTCCCTGGTATTTATCCCTTTGATGTATTTAAAGAGAGCAATCATATCCCCCCTCAGTCTTCTTTTGGTTAGGCTAAACAAACCGAGCTCCTCGAGTCTCCTTTCATAGGAAAGGTTTTCCATTCCTCGGATCATCCTAGTGGCCCTTCTCTGTATCTGTTCCAGTTTGAATTCATCCTTTTTAAACATAGGAGACCAGAACTGCACACAGTACTCCAAATGAGGTCTCACCAGCGCCTTGTATAACGGAAGGAGCACCTCCTTGCCCCTACTAGAAATACCTCGCCTAATGCATCCCAAGATCGCATTAGCTTTTTTAACAGCCGTGTCACATTGCCGGCTCATAGTCATCCTGCGATCAACCAGGACTCCAAGGTCCTTCTCCTCCTCCGTCACTTCTAACCGATGCGTCCCCAGCTTGTAACTAAAATTCTTGTTAGTCATCCCTAAATGCATCACCTTACACTTCTCATTATTAAATCTCATCCTATTATTATTACTCCAATTTACAAGGTCATCTAAGTCTCCCTGCAGAATATCCCGATCCTTCTCCGAATTAGCAATACCTCCCAACTTTGTGTCATCCGCAAACTTTATCAGCCCACTCCTACATTCGGTTCCGAGGTCAGTAATAAATAGATTAAATAAAATCGGACCCAAAACCGAACCTTGAGGAACCCCACTGGTGACCTCCCTCCAACCTGACAATTCCCCTTTCAGTACTACCTGCTGCAGTCTCCCCTTTAACCAGTTCTTTATCCACCTCTGGATTTTCATATCGATCCCCATCTTTTCTAGTTTAACCAATAATTCCTCATGCGGTACCGTATCAAACGCTTTACTAAAATCGAGGTATATTAGATCCACCGCATTCCCTTTATCTAGAAGGTCTATTACTTTCTCAAAGAAGGAGATCAGGTTGGTTTGGCACGATCTACCTTTCATAAACCCATGTTGTAATTTGTCCCAATTACCATTCAACTCAAGGCCCTTAACTACTTTCTCCTTCAAAATTTTTTCCAAGACCTTGCATACTACAGATGTTAAACTAACAGGCCTGTAATTACCCGGGTCACTTTTTTTCCCCTTCTTGAAAATAGGAACCACGTTAGCTATTTTCCAGTCCAACGGTACCACCCCCGAGTTTACAGATTCATTAAAAATTATCGCTAAGGGGCTTGCAATTTCTTGCGCCACTTCCTTCAATATTCTAGGATGAAGATCATCCGGTCCGCCCGATTTGGTCCCGTTTAGCTGCTGAAGTTTAGCTTCCACCTCTAATACTGTAATGTCATTCCCTCCTTCTTTATTCCCCTCTGTCCTGCTCCCCCTATTCCTAAGCCCTTCATTAGCCTTATTAAAGACCGATGCAAAATATTCATTTAGATATTGTGCCATGCCTAGATTATCCTTAATCTCCACTCCATCTACATTCTTCAGCGGTCCCACTTCCTCTTTCTTTGTTTTCTTCCTATTTATATGGCTATAAAACCTCTTACTATTTGATTTAATTCCCCTCGCAAGGTCCAACTCTACACGGCTTTTGGCCTTTCTCACCGCATCCCTACATGCTCGGACCTCAATAAGGTAGGTTTCCTTGCTGATCCCTCCCCTCTTCCATTCTTTGTACGCTTTCTGTTTTTTCTTAATTGCCCCTTTGAGACGCCCACTCATCCAGCTAGGTCTAAATCTCCTGCCTACTAATCGTTTTCCCTTTCTTGGTATACAGGCCTCGGACAGCTCATGCAACTTCAATTTGAAATAATTCCAGGCGTCATCTGCCTTTAGATCCCTAAGTATGTTATCCCAATGCACTTCCCTAAGTAGTTGCTTTAATTTATTAAAGTTGGCCTTTTTAAAATCGTAAACCTTAGTCAGAGTTTTATTTCTGTTAAACCTTCCATTTAGTTTAAACCGAATTAGCTCATGGTCACTCGAGCCAAGGTTGTCCCCTACAACCATTTCCTCAACGAGGTCCTCACTACTCACCAGCACCAAATCTAAAATTGCATCCCCCCTCGTCGGTTCAGTTACTACTTGATGAAGGAATTCATCTGCTAGCACGTCTAGGAACATCTGAGCCCTATTATTGTTACTAGCATTTGTTCCCCAATCTATATCTGGGAAGTTAAAGTCCCCCATGATTACACAGTTCTTATTAGTTTTTACTTCCCTAAAGACATTAAATAGTTCTCTGTCCTCATCCAGGCTAGATCCCGGTGGTCTATAGCACACCCCAAGCACTATCTCAGGGGAGGCTCTAGTAGTTCTATTACCCAGTGTAATTATTGCCCAGACAGACTCTGTCTTATTCATTCCATCACTTATTACTTCTTTGCATTTTACCTCATTATTGACATACAATGCCACTCCCCCACCTTTACCTTTTTTCCGGTCATTCCTAAACAGCACATACCCTTCCATACCTGTACTCCAGTCATGACTACCGTTCCACCACGTTTCGGTTATTCCCACGATATCAGGTTTCATTTCTCGGACCAGGAGCTCCAATTCCTCCATTTTGTTACCTAGGCTTCTCGCATTGGTGTATAAACATCTTACCGTATGCTGTCTATCCTTTCTCGCATTACTTATGCAATTTGGTACGGACCCCATACTGTCCCTCTGCCCCCTCTTTCTTGTGTCCAATCCCGTACCCCTACCTATATCTGTGCTTATCTCTTCACACTCCTTTTCAGTGTTGGACTCAGGCGTGGAGATTAACTGGACATCTCCCAACCGTCTCCCCCAAATTTCTAGTTTAAAGCCCTTTTGATGAGATGAGCCAGCCTCCCTCCCAGAAGTCTATTTCCTTCCCTACTCAGGTGAAGTCCATCCTGCGAGAACAGCTGTCTGTCCCCCGAAAACCTGCCCCTCATCACACAGCCTCCCAGGGGTTATGACAA